TTTACCCAGACCAAGTATCTTGTAAGTATCTTGTATTTATTTTAAGCCTTCAAAAAGGAACAAGAATAAATTCACGAAAATTCATTCTGTCGATTATTCTAATGAAGCAAATGAATAAATTCACGTTTCAAAACGAATGAGTACCTTTCCTACGAAATGAGATAAAATTGGAATAAAATATCTAATGCAGTACCTCACTGAAGTGAAATAAATCAATTGCTGCGTACGTATAATTTTAAAAATACGGAAACAACTTAAATAAAACTTACCCATTGATTCATGAAAAAACTAGCTTCGATAAAAAATATTTATGTCACCGGGTAGATCCACCGATCGGAGCATCAACAGCTGATATCCTGGCAAGGTCAATGAACTCTCAATTTATTTCACTGTCTCTTTCTAATAATTGCACAACATAAGTACGACCGGTAAACGGACCGAATGAAAACGCGTGAACGATTATTTGTAACGTCCCTGGGGAAACTTTTTTTCTTTCTACCGGCATCATCGCGACAATCTTCTATCCATCGATTAGAATAGTCAATTATCGACCGTAGTTGCCAATTATCGACAGTACATTAGGTATCTATTACCATATCTATCAAATTCGACAGTCGGTAATCAGAATATATATATTACCATTTACATTAATTATCTTATAATTTTGATTTAGAGTAGGTAATATTTTCCGCGAAAATAATTGAACATTAAGTTTGAATCATTAAAACAAAATTATGTATTATTTTATTTTTGATAAAGAATCGATGGCATACGTCATTATCGGTGTGCGATGTGAAGTTCGACGCGGGGGTTTCATTTGTTTTGCGTATTAGACGATGCCCTTCAGGCAGTTGTAATCGCCTATGCAACGGATACGCAACGTGTGCGAATCACGCCCTTGTAATATGTACCAAATACTTTATTAATTACCGCAATAACCCAACAAAAGGAATCAGCACACAGATTTTCCACTATTAGCTACTTTTACAATTTTTATTTTCAACTTTTGGGAGCTCAAGGTTTACGAAATTGGAAATTTAATCATTTAAATCATAGCATGAGTTTCGAGGTTTCTAAATTTGGGAGTTTAGAAGTCTGAGAATTTAGAAATTTAGAGATTTGGAAATTTAAGAATTTAGGAATTTGAGATATAACAATTTAAGTTTATAGCATTTTGGTATTTAAGAATTTAGGAAGGTGGAATTTGGAAAAATGAAAAATGGGAAAATTAAAAAAATGATAAATTTGAAATTTGAAAATGTAGAAGTAAGGGAGAATGGGTACATTGAAATAAAAAACTCTTGAAAAACTAGACAACTGAAAATTTCGAAAATTAGAATTTAAAAACTAAGAATGTGAATATATGAAAATTTCGAAATTTACGAATTTGAAAATTTCTGAATCAAGGAAGTGAAAAACTTAAGTTTTCAGAAATTTGGAAACCTAATGATTTAGGAATTGAAGAATTTAAAAACACGAAAATTGGAAAATTGAACAATTGAAAATCCGGAAAACTAGAAACATGGAAAAGCGGAAACATGGAAAATCATATAATTGTGAATTGTTAAATTGTAGAATTATGAAATTGTTAAATTACATAATTACAAACTCGAAGAAATGAAAAATTGAAAAATTGGAAAACTGAAAAATTGAAAAATTGAAGAATCGAAGAATCGAAGAATCGAAGAATCGAAGAATCGAAGAATCGAAGAATCGAAGAATCGAAGAATCGAAGAATCGAAGAATCGAAGAATCGAAGAATCGAAGAATCGAAGAATCGAAGAATCGAAGAATCGAAGAATCGAAGAATCGAAGAATCGAAGAATCGAAGAATCGAAGAATCGAAGAATCGAAGAATCGAAGAATCGAAGAATCGAAGAATCGAAGAATCGAAGAATCGAAGAATCGAAGAATCGAAGAATCGAAGAATCGAAGAATCGAAGAATCGAAGAATCGAAGAATCGAAGAATCGAAGAATCGAAGAATCGAAGAATCGAAGAATCGAAGAATCGAAGAATCGAAGAATCGAAGAATCGAAGAATCGAAGAATCGAAGAAT